ATAAAAGTCATCAATACTGTAGCAGTTCTTTGACAGAAGAAGTTGCTTCAGTCTTGATTTAAAAATGTGTACATTTTCAGAATTTCTGATATTGTCGGGGAGTTTATTAAAAAGTTTGCAGCCTTGAAACTCAAAACTTCTTTGGAAAAGAGCAGTGCGATGTTGACTAGGTAATAATAAGTGGGCATTCCGAGTAGAGTGATTATGATAGGCTCTGTTAGCAGCTAAAGTGTTTCTATTTCGATAGATATATGTGCAAGCTTCCATTATGTATACTCCTGCTAGCGTTAATATTTTCAAATTCTGAAAAGTTTCTCTACAAGAATCTCTATAGCCCAACTTAGCAATGATCCTAATAGCATACTTTTGTATAAAAAACACACGAGACACGGTAGAGGATGTGCCCCAGTTAAGGATGCCATATCTAAGATGCGAATTGAAGTTTGCGTAATAGACAGTTAATAAAATACTTTGACCACAATGGTGGGATAGAAACCTAAGAGAATAACAGGCTTTTCTAAGTTTATTACATAAGTGGTCAATATGTGTCCTCCATTGAAGTTTGTCATCAAAAATAACACCCAACATTTTTGTTGACTTGGTTAGGTTCAATTTTAAAGCAGTATCATCAAACAGATTCAACCCATATCGTTGCCCAGTATTCATCTTGAAATTTAACAAGTTAGTTTTGGCTTCATTCAACATTAAATTGTTTTACCAAACTATTCCATTCGTTTAAGTGATGATACATTCTAGATACAACTACTTTATTGATGTCATAGAGCACCAGTGTTATCTTTTTAATGAACTTCAACCCTTTGCAGAAAGAAGCCTCCGATTAGACAATATGCTGGCAAGATATGTAGAACTTCTCAATCTCCTTTAAAAAAAAGTTATTAAATTTGGTATCCTAAACTATATGACTACAACTGAGCGTACAGTAGATTTGTTTGTGGCCACTAGCATCCATATACTATTAAGGCAGTGCTGCATATTGGTTAGCAGCTTCAGACTTATTTACTGTACAATAGGCATAAAACAGCATTTGACCATCCTCTAGCTCATGATACATTGGATTCCTATTGTCTCATCATCTTGATTTGGCTAGATTCTGTTTTATGTACATGCTTTTGCATTTTCTAAACAATGGAGGCGAAGTTCTGCTTTTCTCATAGTTAATGGTAGTAAATTGAGTCAGTTTTCCAGATTCTTGTTCTGATAATTGAACCTAAGTAGATACCATGAAACACGACTGGCATTTCTCTATAATACTATAGCATTTCTGCATTTGAACTACAATGCTATAGCATTTCTGCTATAATGCAGCAAAACAGAAAGATCTTGAGATTCAATAGTAAAAAGTGAATTATTTCACCAAGGTCTCCAATAATCAGAACAGCCATTTTAACTGAGTGATTGGGTATTGTCTGTGGAGTCCAAATAATATATTTTGATTGATCTGAAAATTCCACCGCAAGCATACTGCAAATGTGTTTCATACAAACTGAATTTTACATAGTTTATGCTTGTTAAATACATTACTAATTTACATAATGACTTTCAAATTGGTTTTTGGGATTGAAACTTGGATTTCTACTTCTCTATCTTCATACAAAAAAAGGTGAAGAAGAAGAAGGACGAAAGAAAGCAATCATGTTCAAGATAAACTCTTAACAAAGATGTCTAGATCATGCTTAAGAGTTTATTTCAGATTCAACCTGGAAGAAGAACCCCTTTTGAAACAACTAGTTTCAATAAAGTTGGCATACGTGGCACAGCACTGAATCTAGTAAAAAATGATTTACCAAACAGGACACAGCCAGTAAAAATTGAAGAGTGACTCACTGAAAATCACAATCGGTGTTACATAGGGTTCAGTGCTGGGTCCAATATTGCTTCTCGACATTGCTGATCTGAAAAACTTTCATGGCCACCTAGTATCATATACAGATGATACTGCTATTGTTTTCATAGATGATACATGGAAAAATGTATATGAATGTACTAAATTAAACCTCTCTCACATCCACAGTTGGTTGAATCACAGCCTGTTAACAGTAAATTTTCAGAAGAGTAATTTTATCACCTTCTCTCTAACTAGTGAAGACCAACCTACAGAAAGATATATTTCAGTACATAGTTATTCTTGTGACGAAATATGATTCAGAGGTTGTCCACAGATTAAAAAGTATCTTGGTATGATAGTGGATCAACACCTAAGGTGGGATGAACATGCACTATATGTAACAAATAAATTATGAACACTAATACATAAGACTTCTGATGTGCTCAGTGTTATACATCTTCTCGGCACAAATAGAAACACCTTGGAATTTAGCCATTCCTGAGATGTCATTTAGCACCATGAGTGGTTCTGTCATCCCTATATCCGGCTCACTATCACAACCTAAACCACATCATACAATCCACACATGCAAAAAACAGCAAGTACAGTCACTCAAGCAGTGAAACAATGAACAAAGACGGCCAAACCTTCTGTGAGGTGTACTAAACCGTTTGTTGAAACTTTTTGGTATTTAATTAAGTTCTAGTGATAGCTCGAGAATTTCCTAGTTTAATAATATTAGTTCAAATGAGAGAAATGTTGATATTTCTTTGTCAATCTATTACTTACTTTTATTTTTTTGTAACGAATCTGTTGCATGACACATCGCTTTTGTTTTTAGAATTTACCATTCGCCTCGGAATGTGAATTCCGAGGAAATAACTCTCAATTAATCGGTGGACAGGGAGGACTTCCTGGGGGATACTTTATAGAAGGTATGAATCCACCAGCACCTCACTATCAACAACAAGACTATGATCCGCCGCCACCACCACCTCAAACTGTAGAGAAAATATCCAGTCTAGATAACAGTGGAGATGTTGAAGTAATCACTTTGGATCATGATGATTCACGCTCACCTTCACCTAATGATGATAGATATAGAAGGAGGAGAAGAAGTAGATCAAGAGATAGAAGAGGAAGAGAAAGAGAAAATAGAAAAAGATCCAGGTCCAGATCTGGGAGCCGTAGACACAGGTCAAGATCAAGGGACAGGGGTGATAGGAATAAAAAAGAAAAGGAGAAGGATAAAGACAAAAAGGAAGAGAAAGAAACTGAAAAAGATAGAGAAAGAAAGAAAAGGGGTTTACCTGCTATCAAGAAAGATCATCTCAGTGGTAAGTTAGAAGTTATGTAAGAAAACTAGTATACCTCAATAATTTATCAAAACTTCTTGTACATGTAATAATTTCAAAAATTTCACGTTTTTCAATATAAGTTTCATAAAACAGTCTTTCAATGATTTAATGTCACACTAAAAGTATGTCTGAGAAAAACAGAAGTATTCCATAGGGTATTTTTTATAGTTTGCAGCACAACTTTATGGGTGGGGCACCTTTCAAAATTGGTGCATCAAGATGATTTATCTAATACCTTTGGTGAATTTGGAGATGTAGTCAGCATAGACTTGATACCACCAAGAGGATGTGCTTTCATTGTGATGCTTCGTAGACAAGATGCTGCTCGCTGTTTAGGCAAATTGAAAGGTCACATTTTACATGGAAAAGCTATAACGGTAATTAAAAAAATCTTTATTTGTTTGCAACACAAATATTTTCATTTATTGGATTACCATTCATGTCTCAGAAGGAATCATTTTAATATAATCCATATCGGTTTTCAGTTGGCATGGGCCCCAGGAAAAGGTGTAAAAGGCAAAGATTTGAAAGACTATTGGGAGGGTGATCTTGGGGTATCTTATATACCCTTTGTTAAAATCAAAGAAGATATAGATATTGACATGTTGGAAGATGGCGGAATGATAGATGAGGATACAATGCCTATCTGGATGAAAGAAAAAATTGAAAGAATGGGGAAAAAGAATATTCCCATTGATTTACAGAGTTATTTAATTCCTGATATTCCTAAACCCCCCTCTCAAATTGACACTAGCCAGCCACCTCCAATGCCTGGTGCTGGATTGCTACAACCTCCTCCAATGCTACCAATGGTATCTCCATTCCAGTTCAACAGTAGATTGCTTAGTATGAACGTTCCACCAACTATGATGCCCAACATGCCAAATGCACCTAATATACCATTCGGAGTACCTCCACCTAATATTGCAGGACATATGATGCCTAATCAGTTGATAGGAATAGGATCTCCTTTCCAGGGTAAGTTTTTTATCTGGATCTTAGTACCAAAAGTTTTCTCCAGCTGTGCTTGTGTAGATTATTGTGTTGTAAGCCTTTTCAACCTCCTTATCTGTGAACATTAAGAAGTTTGCATTTTCAAAACATTCAGTAATGTCTTAACATTTCCTACCCTAACTTGCTGAGATCAGCCAGTCAAGAAACTTTCAAACCATGATAGAGACAATTTCATTGAATAAGGATAAATCTGGGGTTGTGTCACTGTGATTTGGCATGATAAATGTTGGAGGAATTTCCCATTTTTTGAAAGGAGCATTCGCCAGGAAGGTATTGAGTTGTCTCTTCTTTATTGTTGACATTGAAATCTCTGATAATGATAACATACATAGTAATGTAGGCTTTCACAGCTGGCGTCAATGTTTTGGTTGGTTTCGTGGTCTTATTTGGTTATGGCTTTTACCAGTATTTTATAATTTCAAATCAACTGGATTTACATGTTCCAAAGATACAAACTCTACTTCACTCCTGTTTTAGTGATATAATTATTAAGATTTCTATAGAAATCCGTTTATATTTAAGGACCACCAGGTATGATGCCCCCTCAACTTCCTCCAGTTGATAATAAGGCTCCAAATGTAAACACCGAAGCAAACTTGCAGAGTTTGAGTAAATCTTTGATGAATATTACACAATCCTTTGGATTAGTCCCTCAACCGCCAGGCCCTCATGAGGACACTATGGATATAGAAATGGAAGATGCAGAAAAATCTTTGGACAAACCGTCTTCATTTAATGAACAATCTACAGGTGGACCTTACAACAGATCCAATAGAAGTGATGATAAAAGAGACCGAAGGGATGATAAAGACAAGAGAAACAGGAGTAGAGACAGAGATAGGGAAAGAGACAGGTAATTGGAATTATAATTATGTTGACTGTTTGGTTGAGTGGTAAAACGTTGTCTATGAAATATTTTCTTTCTAGGGACAGAGAAAGAGAACGTGGTAGGTTCAGTAGCCGAGAAAGGGACCGAAAAGATAGAGACAGAGATATCAGTCGAGGAAGGGATCGAGATAGAAGAGATGACCGTAGAGAACGTAACAACCGATGGGGTGACCGTGATAGAGAAAATCGAGACAGAGATCGTAGAGATAATAAAGAAGTGGAAAGTAAGGGCGAGGATAGGCGTGACCGTGAGAAAACTCTTAATGACAGGCTCAGAGAAATGGCTGGAATGAGTGGGATTGATGATTCTAATAGAGACAGAAACAGGGAGCGATCATTCAGAGATAAGCGTTCTGATAGTGGCTCAAGGTTCCAACCACCCATTAGAGGTGGTAATGACAGGCTTGGTGAGGACGTCAATAAAGGCCCAACCAATCAAGATCAAATGATGAATGATTGTTCAAGAGCATCTCGTCCTAAATCAGAAGAACAATTTAGTTCAAAACAAGGTCCTTCTGACTCGATCAAAAATAATATACCTTCAGCCATTGATCCCATTAACAAAGGTGATTTTGCTTTGTTTGAGAAAACTAAAACAGCTTCAGAAAAAGATGATAATGGTAATACCAATGAAGAGAAAGAGACGAAGAAAGATTCTAATGATTCAGTTGAAGGCATGTCTGTTCCATTGTCTGAAGGTCCCTCACAGAATGTGGATGGAACATCAGAAATCAGAACAGGTGGACAATCAGAAATGGAAATGCCTTCTGATATGATGATGGATGATCCCCCAGATATGACCGGTTCAGCATCTCTTCATTTTGAACCGCCTGGTACAATAAATGGTCCTCCACCTATGATCTTTAATGGTCCTCCTAATATGATGTTTGGTGGGCCCCCAAACATGATGTTTGAGGGACCTCCAAATGTAATGTTTGATGGAATGCCAAACAGAATGATGAATGGCCCACCAGATATGATGGATGGACCACCAAACATGAGAATGCGTGGAAGAGGGCGAGGCAGACGTGGACTTCCAAATATGAGAGATGGACCTCCACATATGATGGATGGACCTCCTAATATGCACAGAGATGCAATGATGGATGGTCCTCCAATGTTGATGGACCGACCACACAATTTGTTAGATGAGGCACCCCCACATATGTCACACTTCAGAGATGATAGAATGAATGTAAGGGGTGGTAGAAGAGACTTTGGTCCAAGAGGAATGCATGGTCCACCTGATGCAGACTTTTTCCCAAGAGATGATTTTGGTCCAAGGGGACCACCATTCATGAGAGGCGGCCCCAGAGGTCACAGAGGAAGGGGACAGTTCTTTGGACCAAGAGGCAGGGGTAGAGGTAATATTTTCGACTATTATTTTTTATTTGAACTGTAGAACTGGAGTCTCACACATATAATGAATCCAAAACAAGCAATGCTTCCAAATAGCAGAAGATGCCAACTTAGTTGATGAAACATGTGTCAAGAAGAGTGTAACAGTTCTAGTTTTGGAAACAGTGCTTATTTTAGATATATTTTATGAGCAGGTGGATAGGCAGTTTCTTTGCTGTACTACCAAGAATGGGGGTTTAACAGTGCCATAATTATCATTTTTGCCAATTAATCGTTTTAGGAATCCTATACTACTGTGAACTGTGATAGTTCTTAGATCTTATTAGTTCTTATCATTATAAAAGACTAGGTATATTGATTGAATATGATTACTAATATTTATTGTTGAATGTTGGTAGTATGATTTTTATTCTCAAAATTATTTCTAATAACTTTTTGTGATACACTAAAATTCTTTTCAGTTCCTGATTACTGCTCCAAATAATTATTCCAAAATGTAGAGCAGAAAAAAGTTTGCATAGTATTACTGCCAATGAAACTACAAAGTCAACTGTTTTCTTTAAAACTCTAATAGCATAGATGATCGAGGAAAGTATAGTGGAAAGGCTGTCTATCTGACTCTTCCAATTCAATATGTCATCAATGTGACCACCTAAAATTTGTGTAACATTATGCAGTCGGTTTTTCATTCGTTTAAGATCAGTCTATTTTCCAGGAAATAATCTTTGATTACATATATGTTGAGTGAGCGCGTAATACTAACAGATTGGTATTGTCAGCATAACTTATGATGTGAGCTTCGTTTGTGTCTTACGTTAATCTTGTTTGTCATTGATGAATATGATAAACTGTATTAGATTGAATAAATTGATGAATGTAACCGTTACTATGCGGTATTAACATCTTTTCAATTATGTGGTTGTTAGAGTGTCCGTGATGAAAAGTTATATACTTACCCATAAAGTAGTTAAGGAGACGAAGTATAAAAAGTATAATATGATTATTGTTAAGTATTTCATATTCTGTTGAGCCTCAATATTGGCAATTTTTTCGACAGTGACTGAAAAACAAATTGTGATGTTGAAATGTATAATGCTTTATATTGTATTGTATTTGTCTTTTTTCTGTAATGCATACCACTGAGCATTCCAAATCTTCTGCAAAATTCTGCAACAAATTCATGCTATTTCATAGAGATTATATGTTTTGGAGTAATAGAAAGTTTTTTAAAATGCTGGGTGCCTAGATTCTTTCTGAAAAAGAAGTTGACCAATTTGAATTTTATGTTTTTTTATTGCCAAAGAGGTGTTTACCTTTTCCAAAATCAAAACTCCCAAAAACGATATTCTTGGGCCAGAAATCTGATTCATAAAGTGTATCTTTCAAATTTGGTGCTGCACCTACTATAAATGAGTGGTTGTTTGGGCTCCCAATGAGGGTAAGTAGTTGATTCACTTCAATATTGCACATTTCAGAATTTTATTCGAGGTGAGTGTGTGTTTCCATTAATTTCTTTATACTTTCTTCATTGATGTTATCTGGGACTCTCGTGATGAATAACCATGTTTTTTTATTGGAATTTTCTTCGTTGCCATGAAAATGTTCTGGTCTCCATTTCACTGTCAGTATTGGGTTTCTTACGATTTTTATTCCTTATAACTGGTTGGAAACTTTCAACACCATTATTTCCCTTGTCTTCCAAAATGATTTGGTTTTTGAATTGCTTGTTTTCATTACTTTTATTACTTACATTGTATGTTTAGGGTTTCTACAGGTTTTAAATCATTCGAAGATTGTTCAGAACGTTTTGCATTCATGGTTTTCTCTTTATCAGTACCTTCGTTTTTTGTTAGGTTGTTACTCTGACGTTTTAATTGAATAGGCTCACAATTCAATGCCGTCAAGTCATCTTCCAGGAATTATTATTTCTCTTGTAGTAATGAAATGACTTGATCCTTATCGGCAATGAATAATTACTCATCCGTCCAACCCGTGTTAGAAATGGCACGTTAAAAGGTAAGACCTCGTTAATTCTTAGCTCGTACAGGTTTCGACATTTGACGGTTGTCGTTCGTAGGGAGGCGACCGGCAGCTAGTTAACGGAAAAACGGCTTTTTTATCTGCCGAAATTGGTCCAAGTAGGATTTTTTTTTCTCGGGTAATCTTCATCCGTTACTTCATGCTTTCATATACTCTTTTTCTGCTCGCCTTGACTATTTCAAATACTTTGGATGGAAATTTTCACTACATTTGATGTACTTTACCTTGTTCACAACTTTTTTAACAGTGTATTTTTAAATCAAATCAAATCTGTTATTTGCACATATACCTTACTGCTCGTTTTTGCAAGACAAAAATCATATTGAAAACATATTGACTACATGATCCCCAAAAACAGATTCCATATCTCAGATGTGAATCGATTAAAGCATAATACACACTTTTTGCCATATCTACACCAAGTTCCCCTGAAATGGTTTATCATCTATATATAAACCCAGAAAAATGTTCACTTTCTTTAGGAGCAGTTAACAGACAAGCTATTTTGTCCGCCATTTTTATTTTGTTCTGAACTGAACTAGGATATTCCTCTAAATGACGATTTTTTAGAATAAAAACTTCAGAAAAATCCTGAATTCAATCATAGATGAGTAACACACATTATGGCACATGGTGAAGGTCACCCAGCCTGATGATAGGGTAGGTTTATTACATGCCTCACCATGGAGTAGTTGAAAAATCTAGCCTCTCTAAGCTCAGGGTAGTATTCGATTCATCTTGTCCTACCACTGCTGGCTATTCATCCAACGAACTCAAGATAGTTGGCCCGACTATCCAGCCGAATTTGTTCTTAATTCGTTTGATGTATAGGAAACATCATTTCGTTATAGCAGGTGTCTAATAGAACTTCATAGAGGTCTTTACAAAAAATTGTCTATTGTAATGTACTAGAATACCATCCGGAAGGTTGACATAAAATCGGTAAAATACCATTTGATACGTACTTCTGGTGTTGCCTTTTCGGCTGTCCGTGAGGCTGGCATAAAGTCGGTTGATACGTGTTGCTGGACAAGCTCTGCTCACTTTCCAGCAATTTCATATACTTTTGGTGCAAATCGAAATAATCCTAAATTCTATAACTATGCACCCCCCCCCTATTTGTGACTCTTCTGACCTCAATCGCATTACATCCTGTCACTTTATTATCGGTCAACCTTCTGATTCCCATTTCGGATGAGAATCTACTAATGATACCCGAAAATCGGCTTGTAACATTATGAACGAATTCAATTACAGCAGCATTTCTGGTGGTCTATCGAATACATTAAATATTTCGAATTATTGTTATCTTTAATAATACAGCATTAGTAGTGATTGCAGCAATTATTAAATCGTACAGTCCACTTAAATATTATCGAAGGTACTAGGTACACCAAACAGTCTGAAAAAAAAATAACAGGTAAAAACGGCTTTTTACAAATTTTGTTAATGTGCTTTAACCAAGTACAGTCCTCTAATATATACAAACCTAAGAATTTTGTTGAAGCGACTCATTCAAAGGCATTAATATCCACTAGTAGTGTTAAATCACTTTCATCTTCATTTTTGGAAGTATAGAACTTAATAAAGTAAACTTCTCCTACGTTAAGAACTAAAATGAACTTTACCATCTAGTTGAAAACATTTTGTTTTTTTTTAAGCTTCAATGATCAGTTTTCTGTATTTTCATCAGAAATGAGGAGAGTTGTATCACGGGCAACTTTAATTGCTCGTCACCACACATAATTATTAACATTTATCAGATATAATAATGGACTTTGAAATTACTTGTAGAAGAAAAAGATGCCTTAGAAGAGTATGTGTTTTATCTCGGTTTTTTATCAATGACACGTATATTCTTTTGCCGTCCCAACTGAATTAAATATTTAAAGTCGATTCAACTAAATATGGTACTATTCACTACAAACATACATACACTACAAACAATCAATGCTCGTATAACACTTGTCATTTTATTCGTGATCGATATATCAAATTTCTGGTGGCATTCTTTTATTAAATTTATTTCTTGAAAATGAAATGAGGAAGTAAAATATTGACTTTTTCTAGGTCAATTTAGGGATGGGCCCTTCAATCCACATTTTGATGGACCACCAGTTGAGGGTCCTCCATTTGATGGCCCGCCTTTTGAAGGTCCATCATTTGATGGCCCGCCTTTTGAAGGTCCATCATTTGATGGACCACCATTCAGGGGACCAGGTCCAAGAATACGTCCTCACTTTGATGATGGCAGACCTAATAAAAGATTCAGAGGACCTGGATTTGAAGAAAGATCTTGGGTACGTCCAGATTTAAATGATACAGATGAGGGAGGTTTTTCCCTCTCAAGTAGATCAGGCGGCAGAAGAAGTAGATGGGGAGGAGAATCACCACACCAAAATGATGAATATTTAGGTGATAACGCTGTAACACAGCAAGGTGGAGATGAATATGGAGAAAAAGACATCGAGACAGCACCTGGCAATGGAGAAGTAACAGTTAACATCCATGAAGAAATGGTTCACAGTTCAGGAGACATAACTAACGATCAGGAAGGAGTAGCTGACAACCAAGAAATCTCAAATAACAGAGATGATACATCTACTCCTGTTGCTGATGAATGTCCTCCTCCGGAAGAAGCCAATACTACATCTGTAGAAGATGCTGGTCCCCCTGGTGATGAATAAATTGTATTCAATTAATAAATAATTTTATTGCATCATAGAGAACATTGTGGAATTTTCTTTAGGTAAGATCATGTTGATTATATTCGATTTTTTTAATTTGTAAAATGCAATAAGTGTATAAATTTATCAATTTTTGTGTAGGTACGTTAAAATTGTACATATATACATATATATTTTAGAACTTGAAGAGAACTCTTGTGAGATAATGATATATATGATATTCATAAGGAACACTTAGCTGTGATTTTGGTGCGGTGAACACAGGTGAACACTCAGAATGTTTAACTGTCATTGTTTTATTATAAATAAATGTTTTTATTTATTACCTTTTCTTCAGTTTATCCAACCACAAATAATGAAATCATAAATTGAACAATTGCCACAGTAATTTTGTAAATGTGTTATGTTGATTTTTGAAATGAGTCTAACGTGTTTACCCTTTTTTGGTGATTTTGTATCATTGAAAATATTACGTATTCTTCAGAAAGAAATCTGTCAACAAAAGGTAGGTCCATCTGTGTTCACAACAGCTGAGAAGGAGGAGCTCCAGTGCCATCCTTCAAATGGAAGGGTCGGTGCAAGGTACAGTCCAAGTTCTTTTTTTATGAATACACATCGATTATTATTATTCAATATGTTCAGCAATACAAAGTGGAAGTTTAAATTGATATTTTTGGATCATTCTCATAAAACTGATAATTTTGTTCCTTTGATTTCCGTTACTTAAATTTCTATCAATATGTAGATGAAATGTTGAAAATTACAATATTTGTTGAATAAATGCATACGTCTAGATTATTGGGTGCGCACTTGTATAATCATCACAAAAACAATGTTTCGTATAAAAATTTATTCAAACAATGAATAATAGGGATTTCACGAAATGTTTTTTATGGTATATATATATATTTGTTTGTGTATGTATGTGTCTGTGTAGTCCTTCACGGACATTATGAAGTGGTATCCCAGGTGTACATTTGTTCTACTTTGATACAATAACAACGTTTTGGCATGGTCTCACTCGTCATATTCATGATAGCTGAACTTTCAATAGTTCAGTGAGTGTCTGCAGTTTGCATATTTTCAGAGTGCTTTACCATTTATTTTCTTTAATGTATTTTTCGTGATTTCCCTGGCACAAGTTTTATTTATGTCTTTCAGTTTATTTAAGTTTTATTGATTATTGTTTGAATATATTATGAATGAACTAATTTCATCTTTCTTGTTCAAAATTTAAATTATTTTTCAGTTTATAACTAGGCAGCTTAAAGAATTGAAAAAGGAAATCAATCAACAACTCAACAGGAAAAGAACATTTCATATAAATGTTGAAATACACTTAATTGGAATCATTATTTAGTAATCAATAATTGTTTTGTGAGGTTCACATGTTTCCTTTACAAAAAAATAGTTCTTAAAAAGTTTCAATGCCTCCTCTTATATGAAAAATATTCTAATTCATTGTGGTCCGAAATTTTTTTGACATTCTGGATAGAGTTAAATCAAGTCATTGTGTTCAAATTGACAAACTACAAAAATGTTTCACGCTCATTAAGGCAAAATAAAAAAATATTGACTAGCCATTTTTAGTTTTTCTTTTGGTGAAATAACTTTTTGTTTGATAAGATGATCTGTGAGTAATTTTTTTTTCTGGTGGTGTATAATTTCCCATTTATAACTTTCTTTAAGAAGTGAAAAATTAGAGATAGGTAGAACATAACTCTTATTATTGTTTACATTGCTATTAACGAAATGGTTAATGTCTTCTCAGTATGAGAATGTACTGCAAGTGCTTGTTTTTTATTTTGATCACACTACTGTAATCAATGCAACTTTTCAACTCTTTGTTTTGAATAGTTAACATATCACATCGTTGTGCTTCTGCTGATATTGTTCAATCATAAATTGATACGAACACATGACCCTGTCGATGGTCTCTTGGGTATCCTGACCTTACCAGTCTTGACTTAGTTCTCAAAGGTTATTTGACAAATGAAATTTGTGAGTAATGGTATGATTATGTCAACCCCACCCAACCGACATTAAAGGAAAAGTTCGAGTTATCAGTTGCAAGTTCTTGCTGAAAAGTATCCGAGCAGTTGAAAAATATATTCAAGAACGGAGAGACACCTTTGAGTGCCTCTGAGAAGATATCAATTATTAAGTGAAAGGCTGATTTGAATAATAAAGTTTCTGTTCATTTTCTATTCACCCCTCAAAACTTCATTGGTTTTCTCTTCACAAACATTGTTGTCTTGTATCTCAATTTGTATGTGTATATGTCAAAGGGTTTCTAAATTTTTAGAATTTCAGTAAATTTTTGAAGAACTTGAAACTATCTTTTCGATATAATTCTATTGGAGCTATTATATTTCAAACAGTGATGATAACATAACATAATGACTTCTGTTGAAGTTGGCGTTTTAAACAATGACTAGATTAAATATTACAAAAGTTTTANATTTTTTATAAATTTGTGACAATTTGAATAAATATAGTGTAAAATGATGATTTGGATAAATGACCTAAATTTCAGTTTTTGAATGATCACTATTTTTGAGAGTTCTGCGATTGTCTTGATCACAGGTCATGATCACAGTCACTTAAAAGTATCGATATGGACCAATAATCCACCACCTCTGATGATGGATTTTCTCCAAAACAATATACATGTCACTTACCACACACTATGAAACATTTTTAGTCTGGATAGCAATAAAAGAACCATACAATAAATTTCCTCTTATGATAGATGAAATGATTTCAATTCGTGAATAAAACCACATATTACAAAATAATATAAAATCAGACTGGTTTTTAAGTACTGAAGAATTATTAACTTACATATCGAAGAAAATATTGAAATATGAAAATTTATGCTTCCTGGACCTAGTGAGGCAGTTAGAGTAGTTTTTAAATTCTCATTTGTATCAAATCATCATTTTGTCTCTAGATGTCATTACAAATAGAAGTTTCAGCTTTAGTTGATATATTCTCATGTATTTTGTCTGATTTATATATAATCTTTCAATTGACAAAATTCATGAAAAATTGCTTCAATCCAGTGTGAAATGAGAACTTCACGGTTCATTATACTTAGTGTTTTTTTTTGTGTATTTGGGTTGCTATTCATAGTGTCATTAAATGTATATGTATTGCATACTTCATAAATATAGATGTTCCAACAAAAGTTTAATCTTATTTCTGGGAAGTAGTTCTTGAAAAGAATTTGTGTGTTTTCGAGTCTTGGCAGATCTTGAAATTGATTTTTTTTATTAACTCAAAAATAAAAAATCTTTTTGGTATCTATCTCTTGTTTGTCTATTGAGTTTTTGCCAATTGGAGTTTCGGAAATAAAAATCTAAAAATAAAGTTACAATACTGATTGAAAAATGATTTTGGGCAAAGTACGCTATAACTTTGTTCCTTTTTGATTTCTAGAAATTTTCTGATTGATTCGGCCGTTACTTGATGAAGATGCATAGTAGTTTCATGAACTACACCTCACCATTTGATCTCCACAAACTTTATTTGAGAAATATATCACATGTTTTGCTAACACAGTAGCTTCTTTAACAGTGGAGATCAAATCATGAAGTGTAGTTTATGACATTTCTAGAAAGGTGAAATGGAGATTTGATATAATATTGAAGTTACTGTTCAAACTGAAGAACGTTCAGAATAAATATCAACTGTTAAACCATTCGTCACATGTACAACATGGTTTTTGAATAAATTGAGTCAAAATAATAATAATTTAATCATCTTAGGGATCATACAAATGATATCGGACATATGACAGTCAAAAAAAAAGCATTAAAGTGAAAGAAAGTATTTTATCGGCCTTCTTTGGGTATTTCCACAATCTGAAAAATATGAAACTTTTAATGGAGAATTTTATACATGTATTGAAAGTTACTGTGTAAATTTAAAGTATTTTTCCTGATGAAACACTTTCTATTCATCAGTTATAGTAGTAGAAAAAAAAAGCATACAGACTATTAAAGTGAAAGAAAGTATTTTATCGGCCTTCTTTGGGTATTTTCCATTTCCACAATCTGAAAAATATGAAACTTGTAATGGAGAATTTTATACATGTATTGAAAGTTTCTGTGTAAATTTAAAGTATTTTTCCTGATGAAACATTTTCTATTCATCAGTTACTTGTAGTATTTCATAAATCCAGTAGAGGAGTTGTTTTCTGATAAATGTCAGTGCATGAACCTACTGTGTAGATAAGTAGAGACTGGTCTTAAGCCAGTCTTCAAGTATGTCCACTTAATAATATGTTGTATTCGACAATTTTGTCTTTCAAAAAAAGGACTAAGAAATTATACAAATATTTATCGTAAAGTTTCTGAGGCTAAAATCTGCTTTTGTCTACAAAATTGGAAAAATTTAAATATATTAGTAGTTTTTTCTTGGCTGATTCGCTTCATTTCGAAACTACATTCATTACAATGTTCATATTATTCAGATTGTGGAAGGTGAAAATATACAAAGAAAGTCGATAAAAACTCTTATTTCATCCACAAATGAGTCGTTCAATAGGGTACTGAGTACCTACCTATATTATAATAATATTCATATGTTGAAAGTACATAGAATAAAAAAGAGAATCGAATCTTCCATATTTTTTAACTTTTATTTGTAATCAACATTACTACAGTTTCATCCTATAAGGACATTTTCAGTTTAACCTCTTCGGTTCCAAAGTATCACATGCGATGATACCCCAAGTTTGATATTTGTTTGCATGAACAGTATCGTTCAGTCGATTGCTGTATGTATCGTGATTTGTATTGTGAATTGTGAGTGAATATAACCTGTAAAAACCGTTGAGATTGTGAAATGGATAACAAACAGAATAAACGTGAGTTATTTGCTATTTTGTTATGGATGAGTCCTCAGTTGACATAATCAGTTAGTTAGGGCAAAGATATTGACTGTTATGATGATGTTCACTTACGTACGACGCCAAGAGTTGGCCGATAATTTGAATCTGGACGTGTCCGTTATAGATGAAGATTTGCTTCTATTTGAAAATGAAGAGGAAGAAGGAATATTCGAGACCTATCAAGAGGATGCTATCGATACCGTTGATCGTGATGGGGAATACTCGTCTGAAATAGAATTAAATGTTTCACTCTTCATCTTCCCCCTTAAATTAATTGTTGAATGTGGTCAAGCTTGACGTCACATCAGTCGACTCGGCGACAAAGGATTACTGGCGGCGATGGCAGCGATTCATAATCTCCAACTACAGGCCCGGTTGCCACCGCTCGAAGCTCGTTGCTTGGTGTGACGTCAAAATGTATCGCGGGCGATCTCACATTTTCAATTGCTCTTGCTCAGTTGTTAATTGACATAAAAACCGGAAAATTTTGTGGGATACTTGGGAAATTATTTACTTTTATAATATATGATTTTCAATAAAACTCTAAATTAGCCTGAATGAGCCCATTTACCTTGTAGAAACTCTTCCCGGTTACATCCGTTACCTACTTATTAGTAGTTCATTTGTTCTTTGAAGGGTACAATATGAACGTCTTTGATTTTTGAAGTTATGTATTGAATAGTATAAGTTCCATTATAAGCAAGAGATTCTCTGAATGTAGTAGTTTTTTGTTTGAGAATGGTTAATAAATGTTTGCTTCTTGGTGCATAATTGTAAGCAAATAATTTCTGTCTGAGGTTGAGTACATTATATTTCATCTAATGAAAAGATAAAAAGACGAGGGCTCCTTCGACCATTCACTATTTGATCTCAATTTAAGTACCACCGTCATTCTGCCCTATCAACCGAAACAACTGTATGCCCGCTGGATCTCTAATTGATATCAAATTCTGAATGATGAGAGGAGTGCTCATATAGTAATCTTTTCATTTCAATTCTGGCAGCTTGACGCCTTAATATTCAATTACTGGGGACAATGTTAAAAATGCTAATGATCCACCTTCTTTGAATTTGCTCCGCAGAGAAATCCCAAATTTATATATTTTGACCCATATGCGAGTAGGCTAATAATTAGTATACAGCTTTGACACCATCTAAGTTAAGTACTGCTATGATCTGACGCACTGCAAATATCGCTTTATCCTGATTTTAACACACATGATCAATATGAGGCTCCCAGGACAGAGATTTATTTATGCGTTCCACATTCCCTACTTATTGAAAAACTAAGTTATTATGGCATAAGGGGCAGTACTCTGGAACTCCTTCGTTCATATCTTACAAACAGATTTCAGTGTGTTGAGCTAAACAATGTAAAATCTATTTCAAAAAAATCGAGCATGGCGTCCCTCAAGGTTCAATCTTGGGACTATATATGTATGTATAGTAAGGAGGGTGAGTGTATACCCACACCACTTATGCCACATGTGACGCATTGTAATTCTTTCCGAGGAGTTGTCCTCCTAGGTCATCGTCCATCCTGTCCTTTTCAGGAAGGTGGACATGCCACTAGGAGACATTCCTTTATTTGGCAGGTGTAGGCCAAGACTCGCTGAACACATACTTCCTTTGGCAACCTTGAGGTGTCTCACGGTGGCCTCCGCGAAGGTTTTGTAGGTTGCAGCGATATTACTGTCGTTGCGCGACTTCTTCAACCTTCTTGGGGTTCCCTCCGTGGAAGTGCGCGAAGTGCGTGAACGGTCCGCGATTCGAACATATTTTACATATTTTACGTGATTGTTTTACTTTTTCATATCAATATTTCCACTTTCAAGTTTTTTCGTGCTTTTTTTAAAATTTAGCCAAACATATTGAAATTGTTCTAAACTCGCATAGAGTTCTTGAGGTTCATTAGCGGTAGATTCGCATACCTTTCCTCGAACTTTCTAAATTTTCTGCTGATAATTTTATCACGCACTGACTCACGAGCATATTATGTTACTATTCAGTTTTGTTGCGTGTATCCTGTTCGTGTTTAGGATTGCTCAATCTATTCATTCCTTTGGTTGGTATAACACAAGAGTTTTGAAGAAGAGCTGTCTCAAATCAAGTATACCACTTTCTCCATACAGTTTATGACTAGAATAACGGGGGGTTTATTCAAAATTGTTTTTGACAGTTTCTTATGAATTACTTCCAGTGGACGGAGGTAGGTTTTTGATACACCGCCCCATCCTATTATGTGTTGTATATTAGATGACTTCGTACTAGTGAATGATAAACAATTTTTTTCAGTTTGAAATCAAAATTCTCTTTGAGCTGTCGAAATTTAAAAAGTATACATTTTTTTCACTAAATAATTCATGTATTCATTATAACTCCTTAATATTCAAGATGCGTACATGCGCCTCTTTCTAGAGACTTCTGATTCGTTAAATGCTGATAAATCGGCAGAGAAAACTTGAAGTTTCAAATGGTAGATAACAAGTTTTATTGAAATTCAGAGGCAGTTAGTTGTCTAAAATCAAACCAATCTTTGATTATTTTCAGGTCCATTTCTGCCTAGTCCTTTACCACTGACCATATTTCTCTGCAACACTGATAATGTGCCCAGATAATGGTAGATAACAAGTTNTAGATAACAAGTTTTATTGAAGTTCAGAGACAGTTGTCTATAATCAAACCAATTTTTGATTATTTCTAGGTCCTTTTCTACCTACTGTAGCAGAATCATCTGCAAAACTGATAATGTGCCCAGATGAGTCTGCTAAAAATATTCCATTCAAATATGTGCAGAATAATATTGGTCTCAGAACCGTTCCCTGGGTTATCCCACATTCTATTATGTTTCCGTTGATTTAACGTTTTTGATTTTTACTTCTGGATTCTATTTACCAGATATGATTTGAATAGTTTCAATGTTTTCTAGTCATGACAGCAAAATCGAGTGGTTAACAATATCGAATGCTTTCGATAAATCTAAAAAACACCTATTGTGAGCTCGCTCTTATCCAGTGCTTTGTAAATATAATCTGTTGAATTCATTAGGGCATTTCGAGTAGATTATCCGTCTCTGAATCCAAATTGTGAATATGACATTTGTGACGTGGCCAAGACCGCGCCCAACTCGACGAGAGCTCGCGTTCGTTCTTCCAGCTTCGATGGACTTCTCAGGAATTCTCTACCGGTTTCGGAATAGTTCGTCGACTGTCGACGATCGTTCAACGAATGTTCCTAGAAATTAAGAACTATTTCAACTATCCAAAGGATAGTCATCTGAATGCAATCAAATTGTTTTCTAAATACTGAATCAATCGGAGCAACACTATTTTTTTCCCAAACATAATATTTTATCACTGACTGCAATTTATTTGCATTTATTGCATTCCACAAAATTTTTATGAACACGATATTTGATAAATAAATCCCATTAAGACTTCAAACAGTTAATAAGTACTTAATTTTTTGAAAATACATAATATAAGGGTACATATAAAGGCATTTCATATTTCTTGAGTTTTAATGAAAAAAATAGAATGAAACAATCATATTTCTGACAAAATTTATTAACAGAACACATTAACACATATTTCGAAATAACTCAGTGTAGTCAACTTTTCAATGCGTTATTTGGTATAACCTTTGAAGCCCTGAAATTTTATTTTATTAAGTGGTCAGTTTTGAAAAAATATTATTCAACCATTTACCCATATTTAAGGCAATCATTATGTGTTTTGTACTCCATGGTGGCACTTGGTGGTATATTCAATAATCTTTTCAAAGCATCTCTGATTCGACCATTGGTTACTTGATCTGATGCTGTTCGATTCCAAATACTCAGAACATACTCTTGATGATACCGTGTTGAAATTACCACACCACATATTTCGTTACCTGTCTACAGAAAAAAGTTTGTTTCATGGTGAATTTCATTACGGACTTCCATTGTATAATATGATATAAAATGATTTGAAATCCTTGAAAGAATCAATAAAAGTAAGCTTAAAAAAATTACAATTATATTAAGCAAAAAAACTGAAATTGCAATAAAATAAAACACAAGCAACAATTGAAAATTGTTCGGGTGATGACTGTCACCCGAAGAAGATTGAGGATACTAACAATCGAAACGTCGTGAAATGACTTGGTTCGAAATCTCTTAATTTTAATGTCTTGCTTGTATTTTGTTTCAATGTAATTTCAGTTCTTTGCTTAATATATTTGTAATTTTTTTTTTGTAGCTAATCTTTTTAATTTTTACAGATTCTTTCAGGGATTTCAAATCAATTTATATCATATTAGACAATGGAAGTCCGAATTAATGAAATGTAACATTTAGTGTCAGAAGTGGAATCCGGTCTTGAAAACTGTACGAGAATGGATTAACAAAGTAGCGAGGCCGGAATGGTAAGAGATTTCCAAGCACTGCCAGCAGGAAAAAGGTTACTGGCTCTAATGGGACTCGATGTGTATTCGAAATGACCTACTCACTCTGAAATGGGAAAGCCCAGTCGGAAGCACCCATAAATTTCAGAAAATCCTTCCACAGACGTGTATCCCGAATATGCTCAAACAGCCCCCACGATGGTCGCACTGGAGGGCATTTTAAAGTAAATAGAACTCTAGCGAGGGTGCGTGAGAGATACTATTGGATCAATAATTGCCGCCGAGGCGTGGAGGAGTGGTGTAAACGCTGTGACCTGTGCTCTTCGACAAAGGGTACGAAGACAAGACAAAGATGAAAGTTGGAGCAGTACCTCAGTGGGTGCCCTTTCGAGAGAATCGCAGTTGACATTCTGGGGCTACTTCCAATGACTACATCCAGTAACAAGTACCTTATGGTTGTGATGGATCATTTCTCCAAATGACCTGAAGTAATTTGCAGAAAGAATACCCCAAGAATTGCACTCGGATCAGGGCCGCAACTTCGAATCAGATTTATGGAAGGAAATTATGACTTTGTTGGGAATAAAGAATACAAGAACAACCGCTCTTCACCCACAGTCCGACAGAATGGTCGAGAGGCATAATGGCACCATAAATAACTACATCTCGATGATTGTCTCTGAAAACATAAGAGACTGGGATACATTGGTTTTCCTCTTTCCGTTTGCATACAGGAGCTCCCAACATGACGCGATAGGTTACACACCATCCATGTTGTTAACTGGTCAAGAACTGAAGTTTCTGATAGATGTAATGAGTGGCAGTCCATCCGATGAATCTCAAGAGGTACCTTTTTCAAAGTATGTGAATAACTTGAAGGGGGTACTGGAAACTGTACACAAATTTGCCAGATCCAAATTACAGCTTTCCAGTGTAACATGTTTCATACTTTTTTTGACAAGAAACTATGTTTACAAAGATTTTTAGAGGGTAATGTTTTTCTTGGGACACTTTGTATATGGACTTACCATCATAAACTGTTCCCCTAACATAGCTAGGCACAAGTTTTCCCACGCCCTTCCTGCCTGCTCCTTCCTCAGTCTTATAACCTACAATCAAATTATTGTCACATGAAAACTGTATAATCACTACTCAGTCATATTAGGTATGGTTGGTTTTAAAAATCTGGAGCCTAGCGAGTAGATGCAGATTTGATACCATGTGATCACAGAGAAAACGGAGAGAAATATATTCAAAGAACGCTCGATTCTATATATCTGGAGTTACAAGTTGACATTATAAAACATCTAACCTTGATTTTTTTACATATGATCGGTGAAGTTTATTTTCTACAACAGAACTGTAATTTATTATTTTCATTTCTCAACTATATAAGAATGACTAGTGTGGAACAAGGCATTATTATGTCAATGAGGATGGGTTGTGAACTTTTCTTTGAGGACGAGATGAAGAACAAGATCCAAAAACTTCACCAAAAATTATCGTTTTATAAAAATGCCTAAAACTTTGATTCCTTTAAATATGGCAAATGACAACTAAAAAATCTGTCTATCCAAATGTTTTTTATCGAAGATAACAATCATATTTTTTAACTCGCTCTCGTAAATAATAAACATATCCTTTAAATATGGCAAATGACAACTAAAAAATCTGTCTATCCAAACGTTTTTTATCGAAGATAACAATCATATTTTTTAACTCGCTCTCGTAAATAATAAACATACAGCAGATGTAACAGGAACAACAGATTTGAATTATCGAACACTTTCTGAGAGAATTAAGCTAATCGAGCCCTCAGATATATTTCAAATGAACACATCTACTTTATCTCATATTCAGATTTAAAAAACTCTATTTTCACACCTTGCTGAATCATAACTTATAATGATCAATACAAATAAGCTTTGATTCCGAGATAATACTAATAACGCACTGAGATGAGTAAATAATAATGCACAGTTTGAAATGTTTAGTTTTATTAGAAAAGTTAATTTTGTCGAATAATTGACTGGGATAACGACTAGGATGAGGTATAATAAGTTTTCTTTAATTTTGTCTTCCACATAAAATTACAATTATGTTTTGATTGATTTCCGGGTTTTGCCGTGGTCTTCTTTGGTTATAATCTCCAAACGTTTCAACTGCAACTGCGGCAGTCCCCTCCAGTGCGTGGTCTAAGTACTCTTCTTGACGTGTCAACTGAAATGAAGCTCTCATTTCTTCCGTGTCATTTATAGTGCTGATCTTCCTCGCACTTTCGCTATCGGCGGGTTTGCACATACTTCTTGTACGATTTGGACAACTTTGCTTCATTTTGGCGCTTTTCAATGCTGTGTGCCACATCTTTGGTAGATATGTTCTCTCTTCCTTTCTGTTGAAGTTCTCTTGGTGTTTGTATATTTATTTGACTTCTAAATACATTCTTGTTGAATAATGATTCGACGTTGCTAACCTCTCGGTTTTTTGGAATAGGATCCTGTGTTCCCCATCGGACTGTACCAATCGGCAACTCTGCTTATGCTCGACTAGGTGGGTACCAATGCTTCTTTTCGTCTGACCGATATAGACTTTACCATAGTTACATGAAATCCTGTAAACTCCCGCTGATTTGAGTGGGTCTCTGTTGTCTTTTTCTGATCTTAGATACTCCGATATTTTCTTCGTTGGTTTGAAGTCGGAGTTGATTTTTCTCCTTCTTTAGAATTTTCCCGATTCGGTTGGTGACACCTTCTATGTATGGCAGATAGACAGTGCCTTGGAGTTGATCTTCACTGGTGTTTCTTCTCTCCTTTGGACGCGTAGCGCGGATTGTCTTTTCTGTCGTAGCTGTTCGCTTGTAACACAGTTGTTAGGTGTTTTATTTTGTCGTCGACGTATCTTTTTTCACATATTCTCAAAGCTCTGTTGATATGACGGTTCGTTTCTGTTTTGGATGATGGTTGGATTCATTATGTAGGTATCGATCTGTGTGTGTTTTCTTCCTGTACACCTTACGCACTAGTTGATTACTTCCCTTGATGACTAAAATTCAAGGAATGGGATTTGGATGAAAGCTATTCAGATGATTTAAAAAGTTCTGAAGTTCATCTTTTCATTGGCTCCAAACAACGAACGTGTCATCTAAATACCTCAACCAGTGCTTTGGTCGTTTTTCTGAGGTTTGGATAGCTCTTTCTTCAAATTTTTCCATGTAGAAATTTGCTATTACTGGGCTAAGTGGACTGCCCATGGCGACTTCATCAACTTGTTCATGAAAGGTTTTATTCCATTGAATATAAGTTGTCGCTAATGAATGTCGAAATAAGTTGATATCTTGTGTAAAGATCTCCTCTATGTAGCTGAGGTATTCTTCGAGTGGTACATTTGTGAGTAAGGATACAAAATCGAAGCTAACTAGAATGTTGTCGGCTCCAAGGTGATGCCTTTCAATTGTTTGATGAAATCACTGGAGTCTCGGACGTACGTCCGTACCTCGACAAATGCTTATCGAGGTTGTAGGTCGGTGATCCTATGGCACTTGATATCGGTCTCAGTGGTACATCATCTTTGTGAATTTTCGGTAATCCATAGAGCCTCGATGGTAATGCTTCTGCAAAGTTTCTTCTGTGTCTCTGGTGGTAATGAAGATTCTTTTATTAGTTGATTGGTCTTTCTCAAGATTTTCTCTGTTGGGTCTTTCTGTAATATTCTGTTTGTCTCTTGACTGACAAGTTTATTTAGTTTGCTTTTGTAGTCCGAAGTGTTTTAGGCCATTGTTACTCTTATTTTGTCAGCAGGCAGAATAATGACATTTTCATCAGCATTGAGACTTCTTATGGCGGCCTTTTCACCCCTCGAAATGTTGTATTTCAGAGGTTTGGATTTTCAGAATTCTTCAGATTCACTTCGTAGTTTTTCAATTCTGGCTTCTATGTCAACGATGATTTCTTCTGTGGGTATTGTCGATGGTGTTACGCTGAAATTTCACCCTTCAGCTAGTAAACTTGTTTCGTCACTGGTGAGTGGTTGATTGGATTTATTGATAACAAACAGCCTAATGTCTAGTTTTGGGATTCTTTGGCTGTTTTCTCTGAATCTGGTTGAATTTTCTCTTCTGTCTCTCATTGGATGCCTGTACGGTTGAATCAATTGTTTTGAGGGTTAATTTGTAAATATTGTCTCAGTCTTTCTGCGAGACCCACTCAAATCAGCGCAATTGCAGTTGAAACGTTTGGAGATTGTAAACAAAAAAGACCACGGCAAAACCAGGAAACCAACCAAAACATTGACGCCAGTCGCGAAAGCCTACATTAATTACTATATAATTAATTAATTTTCAAGTTTGAACTCAAACCTTTTAGAATTTATTTTTCAAAAAAACTAGTTTTTTCTCTTTCTGTACATTGATTAAAACTAACCATTATCACAAAGAAAATGATGATAAAAATACTCTACCCATTTTCCTCCTTTTTTATTTGCTGGATCTTCCCACATCGGTTTTATACCCTTCTTAAAGAGGTGAATATCTCTGTGAGAAGGAATATCTTGCAATCTCACCATATGAGAATATAAGGCCCACCACTGTTCCACTGTCCCTATTTGACCTACTAATCGTAAGACTTGCGAGTAACCCTAAAGAAAAATTAAATGTATCATAGTAACCCATCTAATGAACAGAATAATTAAACTTCTTTATTGCAATTAAAATAATATGGAACTTCCTAAAAGAAAAATCAATGAAAATCTATGATGCTACAAGATATAAAAATGAGAAAATGAATGTCTATTTATGAATAACTACTATTTTAATAATAATGATTTATTTTCTCAAGGAACATACAATGTTTATAGCAGGTAAAAAAAACATAAATCAAAAATTAACTATAACATAACTATAACAATGCACCGAAAAAAAAAGATGAATCAGAACTGAAATTCGAAAAAAATATAAATATACATAGCGTCACACACGTTTTTTACTGAAAAATTAGTCAAGAACAGCTTTTTTCCTTTTGTCACGTGCTACTTTGAACCTGTCAAAGTTGATATTTTTTCAAAAATCCTCAAAAAATCAGTTCTTTTTTTGAAATTCCGAAATATACCAAAGAAAAAGTTACTCAGTTTCCAATTTTATTACCCTTGCTCGAAACTTGGACTCTCTGTCACTTCGACTTTTTTCTTCAATTTTTTAATTTTTTTGAATCTTTCGCTCTACCGAAACATGATTCAAATTTCATAATTTTGATGAATACGAGACTCAACGTTATATCTTGCCCAGAAAATGCCCATTGTTGGCCTGTTACAAGAAGAAAAAATAAATACGCCTCCAGAAATTCGTCTTTGTTATTGCAAAGTTCATTGTGAAACTGATTCGGATTTTCAATGTATGGGCATTATTATGTCAGTAGTCGAATAAACATATTTCTCTTCATTCTTATTACACTCGTATTCCTTTTTTTAGCAGATTTGTATCCCATTGGCTACAGATAAGTTTGAAATATTTTGATGCATTCACACCCAATAGTGTGACTGTTAGATGTAGTTATCGAGCATATACAGAGGGTTTCAAATTCGATCCACACCATTGAGATCTCGGCATTTTTTGACATATGTGTATTTTGTAACATTTTAAACCGCTTTTTATGAGATGTCTCCAAGCACTTGTATGACAAATATTCATTTCGGAGGAAATTTGACGTGTAGATTTTCCCGGGGTCATGTTTATCTGCAAATTATTAATTTTCATTGAAAAGGACACAATGTCTAACTTACCTCATATATACCTCATTTATCAAATTTTCTTCAGTTTCCTGGTCCATTCTGTCTTCGTATTTTTTTCCTTCGCTTTTCAAACGAACCAAACTCGGTGAGATTTTGACCCAATAACTTGAACATAGTTCAATGTGGTTGTCGTCTTTCGGGATACAAGTTTAAATACATACTATATAGTGAAAATCATACAATGGACTGTATTAATTAGTGTTTCATCAAGTATCGGCCAGTTCCTCATTCGTGAAAGCCATTTTTCACCAAAAATTCAATGACTTGTACAATAACGAAATGTCATTAAATGTAAAAAATTGAAAGTCAAATTTAGAAACATCAAAGTCAAAGCCTATTATGATAAGAACTAACTTTTTTCAATATCTCCAATTTTTTGAAAAAGAATGATAACTTATGATACATCATGAATCCAATGTAGCGCCCATAAGAAAAATAAAGTTGATGATGGTGGCCGGAAGACGAAACATCGCATAGCAAATCTGAAAACACCATTATGTAGCAGGGAAAAAGTGGCAATGTGGAAGTGCAATTTATTTTCGAATCCTTCAAAAAATAAAGCCAGATCGAATTTGAAACACCGTGTATAACGCTTCTTGAGTTAATTTCATAAATCTTATATTCTTTATTTTCACTATTAGATGTGTGAATAACATTAAACCAAAATAACCAAATTCACAACAAAAGATCATAACATTCATTGATTCATCTCAATAATCTTATAAAGAACCCGAATACATCATTCAGTATGCCTTCCTTTCCGTTCTATACAAATTAGTCCTTTCATTCATAGACTTCGTGGCATTTTCAATAAATAGGGGATTTATGTTAGCACAACACTCCCGGATGGTATTCTCTTAATGTTCTTCATTTGCAAATGGTCTGTGCTTATACACTTTTTGTTTCAGACAACCCCATAGAAAAAAATCCATCGGAGATAAGACTGGTGATCTTGGTGGCCAATGATCTTCCCAATCTCATCCTATCGCTTTACCCCTATACATCTGACTGAGACACTGTTTCACTTCTACCGTTTGGTGGATCAGTGCACCGTCTAGCTTATACCACAAATTTCGTCTAACAATTAGAGGCAGATTATCGAAAACTTCAGACAACTGATTCATAATGAAATTTCTGTACATACCTGCATTCAAATTTTCTCTAGGAAAATATGGTGCAAGCATTTGGTTATGTAATAGCCACACCAAACATTTGTCATGAATGAATATTGGTCACAGCATTCTATTACAAAATTTGGATTATTGTTCTGTTTAAATTCTGTGAAAGTTGTCTCGTCTGGGTAATGCGATATTATTTTCTCTCTCCCCTTGGAACCAAAATGAAAATTCTACTCGAATATCGAAATCTTTTTCTTCAAGAGTGTGTATAATCTTTGGCTTATAGGGATGGAATTTATTGTTGTGCAAAATCCTTCTCACAGTTTCTCTGCCAATCCCTGTATCTTCACTAATACTTCTAATATTAGTTTTTTCGTTTTCAACACTGCTCAGGCAAACATTGTTCTTCTTCAATGGGTTATGTGGTTTCTTGAAACGATTGTCCTCAGAGCCAGTTTCTTTGAATGTTTTCAATATCCTTCCCACGGTACTAACGTGAATATTTCTTCTGGATGCCATTGATCAAAAATACAAACAACATCTCGATATGGCACATTCTCACCACTTAAAAGAATGTATTCCATTTTGTCTTGTGTGGATAACATTGCATATAAAACTCATTTGTGAATTATAAATATACGAAAATCTGTACACATAACAACTCGATTTATTCAACGCAATAATTTGACATTAACCAAAACTAAAAATTTGTTTCAAAAACTTACATAATTGCAAGTGTGGTGTATTCTGTTCACTACAATGATTTGCGGCTCAAATATTCAAATTACACTACTCGAACGGCAATTCGTAGATAATTGAGAAAAAACACAGAGGGTACTCCAGTAGAAGGTTAGATAGTGCAGTGTTCCCAGTCTGAACAGTTTATGGAAACTTATGGTTCATTTTCAAATAGTGATGAATAAAATACACCAACGTGTGTAGTTAGAGGTTAATATGGAACCAAGTGCTAACCAATTAGTAGTTTGGAACTACTTTTCAAACACTACCAACAAAAAAAATTATTCAAAGAATAAATTTTTCATTACATTTTGTTTTTGCCAAAACCTAAAACTATATTAAAAACTAGAGTATGATCCAGTTTTAGATGTCATAGAATAGTAAAGAATTGATTACTATTATGTCAATTTTTTCTATTCTAATTTCAGAACAAGTACCAAGAACCGAAATCAGTCTATTCCCAGTTTACGTGAACTGAAGATCTGTTCATCAATACCAATACATTATCACATTCAAAAACAAGAGTATTCAAATACTTCCTTAACAGTTCTCGTGTACAGCCAGTACTTAGAAGAATCAAGTATCGATCACAAAAAAGGTATTGACTTCCCGTCACTACATATTACCCTACTTTACGTTTCACCTTAAACAAAAGTTTGTTATCCAAATAGTTTACTTAGTTACCTCACCATTATCATAAAACAGTAACCCTTCAGTTAGACCTTTCTTACCTGGGAACCTTGTATCTGAGATGGTCTTTTTGAAAACCAGAGACAATATGAATGCTGTAGTCGGTGTTCCCCGGGTGGATATTCAATAGGTCCTAAGTCAGTGATATTTGGACCAGAATCCTCATCGCCACTTCCACTGTCGGAATTATCCACATGGTGTTTTAATCTGAAAAATAAACAAAAAGAATAAACATAATAGAAAGATTAAAACAATGCTTGATAATCGATTTTTATAATGATGATTACTGAAAATGTCTAGCTTATTTTGGAAACATTGCACATGGAAACTGATTTGTACAAAACATGCATAAATGAGCACCTACTTCATTTTTTCATAATCATGATTCATTTGTAATGAAATAGTTTTACAAAAATTGCATCTAGAAAATAAATATAAAACAAACCACGCAGCATCAGGCGAAAAAAACATGTTCTTAAACATAAAATCTGAAATATAAAATATACTTAACATCGGAAATATTGAATAAAGTCTATAAATTTACATACCTCAATAACTATAAATATAACAAGGAATATAATAAGTGTTCATTTTCATAAAATCAAGCAAATAAAAGAAAACAATGTAATAGTCAAATGTCCAAAAGCAATTCTGAAATATTTGCATTTNTTTTTTACCACCGAGCTCAAATTCAGATTCTTCTGAAGTGACCCCTAATAACTTTGACAATTCATAAAAGTTAGAACCCATGTCACTCACGATGCCATCAACATGCAGACATATATTGGATAATTTAGAAATGCACTTATCCAAAATATCACGTAAATTTTTTGCTGATAGCTGTGATTCAATGAAAAAAAAGCAATCGGTTGTTTCCAGGGAGAATAAAGTCCTCTAGCTATAATAACGAGAACATTTCTACATATGAAATTCCTCTTATTTGCCTCTCCAATATCTTCGAAACCAATAATTTCATCACATCCTGTATCAAAAAAAAGATTGGATTTTAAAGCCATCTCATCTATAGATATCACACATCGCTTGTCCTGTTCGAGCATTGTTTTAATTTTAATTTCAAGTGCCTCAAATATTGCTGAATTTTCCAAGCCCGGCATACATGATATTTTTTTGGTCATCCTTTGCAAACATCGTTTTGTTAGAAGAGTCAATAACTTGCTAAGACGTCTATAATTCCTAGAACTTGAAAAGTAGTTGATCAAAGCAAACTGCTTCACTTCTGAAGAATATCTGCGAGATATAGATTTCTTGTTCTTTTGTACAACATGCGATTTTATCACTTCCGATAAAGGTTTCTCAAGAAACGCATCTTGTTAGATTCCTTTTTGATTTTCTCTCTTCGTACCTACCTCATTATGTTTGCTCAGTGCTCACAGACTACTGGAGACAGCTAAGCCCAAGAATGACGTGGAGACAACCAAGTCGACGCATGCGTCTACGAAAAAGGGACACAAAATGGCCGTCTTTGTCGTGTCTCTGTGGTAAGTATTCTCGGCCAGCGATATCAGTCGACTCATACATTTGTAAGATTGATTGTGTTTTTTGTAGACGTTTAAATAGTTTTTGATTGACGTAGCTTGCCAACTCATGAATTCTTTGTAAAACAGTATCATTTGATAGCGGCACAGTAGACAGATGCTTTGCAGATTTTTCATCGAGCATAAATTTTGTTAAGTCTATCACACATGGTTTTATTAAATTCTCAGCGATATTATGCGCTTCACCTGCTTGTGCAATGCGATAGGTAACTCAATATGATCCCTCCGTGGCCTTTTCATTGATAATTAGGGTTACATGCATCATAGATGTTTGACTTTCCAATAACTGTTCTTTTTTACGTACAAAAAATTCTTTATTCTCGTCTTTACACTCGGGCTGTACAGTTTCTAAATGTCGGTGCAACTTGGCAGGTGCCATGGAACTATTAGGAAGCAGTTTACTACACAGCAAGCAGAGAGGCGAGCAGTTGGAATCAACAAATCCGAAAATGATTCATCATAAGCATTTCCTTTATTTGCCTTTGAAAGCGTGGAACTTGACGTCGTTGCATCATCGCCTGGGTTGCTAATTGCTGTATACTCCGCGAGTACTGCTTGTGTTTATGGATTTTATACCATAATCATGTTCTTTTTGAATAAAAAGGCAATATATTGAAAATAATGTAATGAAACATATTACATGTTTCCATCGAGACAACTCAAGTAATAGTGCGTTAAATAACAAAAATAACCATCTGGGTTTCAGGTAATAAAAAATATTACTCAGATCGAACACCTTTTTTCTTCCCCAACAACTCGGGTTATTTGGCAAGGGTAGTGACGTGTTGTCTAGTCACATCCAAGGATGCGGTACGAATCACTCTATCGGAACCGGGAAACACTATCCATCAGCCATCTCAAAGGAGGAAGTCTATCCTCTTTCACAAGTACCAAGAATCCAATCTTCAATAATTGGGGGTGCCTTTCCTCCATTTCTTGCGAATTTGTAAACTAGCTACCTATTCTTTGGTCCACCTAGACCAAAAATGCTGGATCATCTCAGTCGATTCACTGGGATTGAAGACCAGTGATGGTTGGGTACTGAAGTCAACTTAATGCCAATCAACAAGGGTGCTGGGGTCAAAGGAGAGAGACCTTTAGGAATGTTGGATAAAGCAAGCAGACATGCTTCAATTTGTGTTGTAAAGGTTGAAAACTCTTCTTAAGTTCAAATGGTATCACCAATAACTCTTTTTAGATTATGTTTTACTGATTTAACACCTGACTCCCACAGATCGCCAAAATTAGAAGCTTTCGGAGGTATGAAACTCCAAAGTATACCTTGTTGGCTTAGTTTGGTTGCGATAGTCTCGTATGATTCTTTAAGAAAAGTCTCTAATGAGCATTAACTCCCACAAAGTTACTGCCGTTATCAGATACAATTTTAGAACACAACCCTCGCCTTGCAACAAATCGTCTCAGTGCAGCAATAAAACATTCAGTGGATAGATCACTTATAACTTCCAAATACATGGCCTTGGTTGCGAAACATATGAATAGGCAAATGTGAGAATTACTCACTTTGTAATTTCGAATCTTTCCATTTCTAATAGGAAATGGACCACAATAATCTACACCTGTTACCGTAAAGGGTCGAGCTGGAGTAAGCCTATCCTTGGGTAGATCACCCATTATATTTTTTATATTATTTGTTCTAAATCTGTGACACTTTATGCATTCGTGTATCACCTTGCGTACGAGGCAACGCCCTGATATTGACCAAAAACAGTCTCTTAAAGATGCCAATAAAGCTTGAGGTCCTGCATGAAGACGTTCCACGTGCTCGTCACGAGCGATTGTTTTAATCTTCCACCCTCTCTGATAATGCCTTATTCATCCAAAAAAGGATTGAGATTATATGAGAGGCCTTTATTATTCACATGTCTGAATGAATTTAACTGGTTTACTTCAAAAGCAAAAATTTCAGATAGTGCTAACCGAGTTAATTTTTTAATGGAATCATTTAATTCTTCTAGGGAACCGGTTTTTCTGATATTTTTATCAACAAATCTAATATAGGCCAAGACGTTTGGGTTTATTCAATAATGTAATTACATCATTACGTCACACACACACACAAAATCTCATATGAAAAAAATTCTAAACGATCCATGCATCAAACCCTTCAAGGTCACATCGTCTTGATGTTACTAAACAACAATAAAAAAGCAATTAATACGTCATAGTGGTGGGGGGAGGCCGGAATTCGGCTGTATGCATCTACTTATAATTTTAGCAACTATCATGATAGGAGATAGTAGACCTAACGGATCGAAGATTTGGGCGGAATAACTAAGAATATTTCGCTTAGTTATATTTTCTGCGACATCTCCAGTTCTTATGGAATATGTTAAAACGTCTGTGTTGGGATTCCAAGCAAGTCCTAATATCTTACTGAGATCATGGTTACCTACGGTGATAATATCTCGCATTGTGTCCTCGGACATGACCGCAGGAATATTGGAAACCCATTTTCTGAGCATAAAATTATATTTTGAAAGTATTTGTACTATTTGAGCTTTTATATGCGAAACTTATTCTAAGGTAATACCGCCAGTAAGTAGATCATCTACATAAAAATCTCGTTCCTACGAGATCCTTAATGGAACTTATTTTGGGATTTTCATGTTCAACATTGAATGCTACTTCATGTAATTGCACGTATGCATAAAAAACTAGTAGAAGTTGTACCGTACGTAGCTGTATTTAGCTCATAAGCTGATAAGGATTCTGAAGGGTGCGAACGCCATAGAATTTTTTGAAAAGACCTTTCTTCTTTTTTTACAAGAACTTGTCTATACATTTTTTCAATGTCACCAGCAAGTACTACATTGTGAATACGAAATCTCAGGATGATTGAAATTANGAATAAAATTAAATCATTTTGATTAGTAGGAGCTGCAGCCAAAATATATCGCTAAGAGAAAAACCAGACGTTGACTTCGAAAATCCATGAAATACAACGTGTATTTTGGAAGTAGTGCTACTCTCTTTAACTACAAAATGATGAGGAAGATAAAACCCATCGTTAAAAATTTCGTTTAAACGTGACATATGACCGAGTGCGAGATTTTATTTAATTTTCGTTCTAATGAGAAAAAACGTTTTTCTGCGGTTTTGAGGAAATCACCCAATTTCTTTGTGAGCCCTTTGAAAGGAAGAATCACTTCTTAGCGACTTGACGCATCTTCAATAATATTTGTTTTGAAATTATCCTCACAGAACGATTTCTCCGGAGAATATGCTTGTTTATATGGGAATTCTTCTATTTTCCAAAATTGTTTAATATGATTGTCAAGATCAGTCGAATTCATGCTTCAATTGCCTAATACTACCTAATCTTTGAAAAATATAGGCCCTGAAACAATCCACGCAAAAAAGTTTTATGCAAAAAAGCTAACCTTAGACATAACTTCATTTGTCCAGTACAAATCATGAAATGAATCATTGCCAATGAACAAGTCTACCGAGGTCCTGGTATTAAAATTCGCATCAGCCAGAATCAAATTAGGTGGTATTTCGACAAATTTTGGATTAAGAGCAACCGAAGGGACGTTTCCAATGATATTGTCCATTATGAAACAGGATAAAGTTGTTTTAAGTGCATTTATTCTTGACTGAATTTTAATACATGCTCTCTTGTCTGAGATTGAACAGAACAAAGTGAAGTC